TTATGATTTAAACTCCTTGGTTTTATTAATTGATAAATATCATATACTTGTTGATTGTACCACTTACATTTTCTAACGAAACTTCCCACAGAAAAAAATTAAGTATCATTAAGTATGTTTAATACCTGTTGTGGAGCCATTTTCGTGTTGTTTTATACTTCTAATTTCCTTTACTTGGTTTCTGATACTATCACACATTTGTATTATTTCCTTTGATTATACATTTTCTAGTTATTTGAGGTTAGGCTATTCAATTTTGCCAGGTTAATTTTATAAATTACAAAGAGCATTTAATTTGAATTATTTAAAGATGATCACTAGTTTTCCTATAAATATCTCTTTCCCAATAAACATTTTTCTGATTCATTGTGTTTATAGTCAAGTTTATGCCTTCAAAATTATTTCAATTAAGAAAATTTATTCTCCAAAATAAATGCTACAAAAATCTGTGCCCATTTTTACTGATTTGAAATAGAATATTGCCGTTCTGATTTTTCAAGGTGTGTTTTTGCATCAGGTGGCTCATACATACCAATGAGCTTAAAAACACAAACTTGTCATCTCATAAATTTGTTATTCTAAAAATATGTCAGAACATCTGTTGATTAACTTGTGTTTTTAAAAGTACTTGGGGCTATAACCACAAACGATTAAGCATTTTCCCAGAAATGAATCAAATAATTAGATAATATAAATTTAAAAATGGAACAAAGAAGTAAAATGCAAGACGTGTTATCCAGTATCTCCAGTTCAGCTCTGTGAGGAGAACTATTTCCCTTAAAAGTGATTGACAATTGGAATTAAGATTTTCTTTCTTCAGTTTTATGTAATAAGACTCACATGATCCATATTTGAGGAACCCTTCTTATTCTGGTTCCCAAAAGAGTATGTGGGCCTGAGGATGCTGTCGAATACTAGGAAGACTTCACCCCCAAGGGCTGCTTGCCAACTTGTGACAATGCAAAGGCAGGTGAACTCACACAGGTGAACCTAAAAGATAAAAACATCACTGGATTCAAATTCTTCTCCTCATCCTCAGAGATTGTATCTTCTGACCGAAACATTACACCAATTTGACTAAGAGAAATTTTCATTATTCCAGTTCCTGTAAATGGGGTTGTGTGTGAAAGTACAGCTCTTGCCACGTAGCTTGGTGTGCTAATGTTGTGTTGTGCTATCTAGCTGTGTAGTATTTCGGTAATCCTCACTTACAATGGTCTGTGTGACTCTGCCCTGGATGGAGGTGCACATTAACTGCTAATTGCCAGCAAACTGCATGAAATCTCATCTCGTATGTCTTCTTTTCTGTGTTTTCTTTCCTTTCCTGCACTTGCTACTTTGCCCATTATTAATAGGATGGATTTATATGCACGACGAGTCTTGGCTGTGTCATGATGTCAGCTCCTACCTTCATTTTACTGCAAGTTGTCATGTGGTGTGGATGGTCAGTCACTTTCTCTAATTTTTCTTTTCTTTTATGTTTTGCTTGAAATGTTAGAAAATGATTCATATCCCTGAATCCACAGTAATGTCAGGAGACAATGTTATTAGAAATTCAGTACTAGGCCAGGGATTTAGCTCAGTGGTTCTGGTGCCTGCCTGGCAAGCACAAGGACCTGAGTTCGATCCCTGGTACCAAAAAAAATAGAATTTCAGTACTAATATTCTTTTCAAAGTGATGATTTCAAGAGGTGCATACGTTTCTCTTACTAAACAGAACAAAATAAGATTCCTATATATTTAGATATCAGTTTTTTTTATATGGTTTTTCTGCAAAAATTAAGTTAATATGGGTCAGATTTTATATAGGCTTTATGATACCTTACTCTTGCTAAAAAGAAATACCTAGCAATTATTAGAGCTGGTTATATCAGTTTATTTTCAGAAATGATAACAAATTTAATGGACGATTTCAGTTTTATTGAGCATTGTATAAGAATGTCGATCATTCTGTTTTTTCTATTTTTTTAGGGGGTGGTACTGGGGATCGAACTCAGGACTTTGTGCTTGTGAGGCAGGCAGTGGAACCACTGAGCTAAATTCCTGGCTCTGGTTTTTCTTTTAAATAAATTTAGTTTAAATAGCTTTTGAAGATTTCATTCTAAAAATATTGGTCTTCTTGAAATATTTTAGTGTAGCTTTTCCAATTTCTAAATCATTTAATGTCAAATTATCATTATGTTCTAATGTTTGGAGAAATTTCTGCATTGTATGAGCAATACTGCTACGTAGATGTCTGGGGGCTTCACTGATGTCCCATCTGTCATTCTGCAGTTTCATTTCCGGTACTCTGAAGTCATCACAAATGTGTGACTGCAGCAACTCTTGTGTTCTTTCTTCCATAGTGTCCAGGTGCCCACTGGTTAGGAAACCACTAGATGGAGATGTGGCCATTACTCAGCATAGACTGAGCACAGGAAACAGGGAGAGGGGAGTAGCAGAGTAAGTCTCAGAAAGCAACCAAAGTAGTCCTGAGATAATAAAGATTTCCATAGCAAAAGAGTCCAAGTAAACGTACCTAGCTAGGTTTAGTGATTAAGCAAAGGACCAAAATTGCTGTCGATATATACATATTCTTAAAAGTGATACACAGGTGCCTGTTTGACATGCAACTTAGTCCCTCTGAGAAGTACCTAGTTAATCAACTATTTAAATAAGAAGAGTGTAGTGGTGTTATGAGTATCTGTGAGTGTCCCCATTTGTGATCCTAACAGAAATGGAAAAACTACAGCATCTGGGCACTCAATGATTGTATTCTATATATGCGAAATAGTATAAAATTCGTTATACTTCTGCCTTTGATTATAAAGTTCACTTTTCTCTAACACAGAATTTTAGGTAACATATCCTTTTATGAATTAGACATAAAATACATAAGTACAGCATTTTTTTAGCTATTATTGCTTAATGAAAATATTCCATTAAGAAAATGTAAAACTTTTATAAAGTCTACAGTGCAAATATTCCTGACGTGACATGAAATGCACTGTCCCAGTGAGGCTGTTTGTGACACAGGGTTCATGAGGACACAGGTGGAAGAGAAGAACAAAGAAAGACACACAAAAGAGCTGGAACTGTTCATTACTCAGAGCAGAAAGCAAAGCAAGCCGATCATCTGTCTACTGGTTGGGTGCTGCACCTGCCTGGCAATCACAAGTCTTGAGTTTGACTCCCAGTGCCAAAAAAAGGAAGAATTGTTCTATGTGGACCTGATTCATCAAAACCGTTTTATGGAGTACATAGAAATGAATACTCAGAAATAGGTTTCTATGTGTATGTGTACTAATCCTGCTACATTTAAAGAGTTGAACAAATGCACTACCTAATTTGAGGGCCAAGTCAGGCGAGTGCGATGGGAGACTGAGGGATCGTTGGGCTGATTTCCACCAAAAGCATCGCTGTGCAGCACCCACTCGGTAGCATTTTCAAACATAAATTTGCTTTGAAACTACCTGGGCGACTTCAGTGCCGATGTATTTAGGTTCACAAGTCAGCTGTTAGTGTGTGATGTGTTTGCCACTGACCAGCCTTTTCAGCTATAATTCAGAAAAGAAAGGGCAGACACTCCTGAGCCAAATGGCTACAGTATTTTATTTTGGAAAATTTAGTTGTAAATTTATTTTAGTGAATTTAACAAGGATTGTGTTTTAGGGCAATTAGTTGTCCCAGATCCTGGCAGAGAAGGGTTTAGCAATACTTATTTAATAATAGTAAATGGAGATTTGGACTTTGTTAGTCCATGATATGTAAAGATTACATCCCTTGTAGGGGATTCTCTTTTTATTTCTCCAGTGTCTGATGTATGTATTTATCTTATAAGAACTTATAAAATTATCATATGCACAAATTGAAAGCCAGACTAATAGGCCAAAGAATTTATACAGTACACTTTTTAGATACATTGTCTACGCTGGATTATAATACTTATTTTCTTTGTCTCTCTCTCACACACACATATAATTTTTCATATAAGATAAAACATGTGATACATAAGTTTGTGTGTCTGAGTTGCTTCATTTAACATTATGGCCTCAAGGTGCATTTGTTTTCCTACAAATGACTCAAACTTATTCTTCTTCATGGCAGAGTAGTACTCCACTGTATACAAACACCACTTTTTTTCACCTGTTCATCTGTTGATGGTCCTACAGACATTTTCAGTATTTTTAGCTGTTGTGAGTTGTGCTGCTATAAACATGAGTGTGCATGCGTCACTGAGGTGTGATGCTTTTAATTCTCTTGGCAGGGTACTTAGAAGACGAATGGTTGGGTCAAGTGCCATTTCCACTTTGAGTTTGTGAGCATCTCTGCACTGATTTCATAGTGGTCTATCAGGGTACAGCCCACCAACAATGGAGACTTTAGCCAACAATATGCATGGTTCTATGAAATGAACCTTGGGGCAAAATCACAGTTTAAATTTTTCTTTCTTTTAATGACTCCTGAAGAGGGAAATAGAAGGACACTTAGGTGATATCTTTTCTCCTAATCTTTTGAAAGAGGCTCCCATGAGAAAGTCTAGTAAGATCAGTCTAGCTTATGTCAAAGTCTAAAGCAGGGAGTGGCGGGTGCTTGTGGCCTCATCACTTGGAAGGCCGAGGAAGCAGGAGCAGGGTGGGTTCAGGGCCAGCCTGAGCTCTGTAATCAAGGCCACCAAACCGTTGATTTCGGATGCAGTAATCTTTTAAGAATCAGACTGACTTGTTTAGTAGAGGAGGCAGTGGAGTTTCAGTGTCCTCAAGGTGGAAAGGCTGAGGTTCCACCCACAGTCCGCACTTCTGACTGAAGTATCTGAAAATGACCTGCTCACTCACAGCACAATCTCTGGTCTCACTGCATGAGTTTGTGCCATGCAGAACACATAAGAGAGCATGACCAGGACGCCGTGGGGCCGAATTTTCAATGTGAAACCAGGGCTCCGAGTGACTCTTCAAACTACCCCTGGCCAGAGTGAAAACGCACGTGTGGAAAGTGGAAGAAAGGGCAGCATGTGTAAAAAGGAAAACAGCGAAGAGCCAGAGAGAAGATCTGCCTGCCTCAGTGTGGTCTGCAGTACCGCAGTGTGTGGTACAGTACAGGAGTTTCCTTGATACAATGGATCATTTATCCTTACATGAGTGGTATCTGAACGATGACTTTTCATTCCATCAAATTAGTATGTACTTAACCAAAACTGCACAGTATTCCTGCTTAAGTGATGATTAGGACTTAAATTAGTGCTTTATGTTTGTGACATTTCTAACTATTGCATTAGCTGCTGTACTCTCTACTGTTCATTTTTCAAACACAGCATACCTAGTATTACTAGCATACCTAGTGTTACTCCTCTTCGTGTGAAATACTCAAGAAGCACAAACACAGACCTGAAATCCAAAGTAACTGGTGCCTCTTTTTAATCAGGTTACATGTTACCATGTCTGGAGGGAAAAGTATCTAGACAAAACGAAGAGCATGTGCAAAGGTCCTGAGGTAGAAAGCACCTTGAGCTGTTGAAGAGAAAGTCAGTATTTCTGAGGAGCATCAGTGACAAGGGCTGCAGTTGCAGCTAGGCTATTGACCATAAATACTTTGTAGAATTTCACATGGAATTCAGATTTGTTTAGAGAAAAATGAAAAATCACAAACAAAATGTGCAAGATCTGCTGGGTGTTTTTTTTTTTAACTTTATTGAGTTTATTGGTACATTTTAGGGATACAGTACAGTTACATTCATTGTTGGGATCATGTACCTTTACATGGCAAGTCTTGATTCTCATTTTTTCCCCTTACCTCTGCCCTCCCTTCACCCCCTGCTGGGTGTTTTTAAGAAGACTGCTCGGTGTGTGGACATTAGGAAAGGGCAGAGCAGAAGCACTGAGAAAATAGGCAGAAGCGGAGGCAGGAGAGTGCCAGGGCCAGAACCGTGGAGGATGGGCGGTAGTGGGTTTGATTCTGGTTTGGAACAGAAATAGAGGTTGAGATGCTGGAGTCTGTGGGGAAAGAGGGACCCCGGAGCTGGGGGCATGCGGCTGCTCCTCCGCCCTCGAAGGGCCGTTTACTAACTCTGAGAAGGGCAGCGTACAGGGCCAAGTGAGTCAGGATCTGCAGGCACAGGGGAGAGGCGTTCGTATGGAAGAGAGGGGCGCTCGGGGCTGAAGACGGAAAAGGGTGAGGACAGCTGCAGCCGCTACGCCGATCAGTCCCCTCGAGCAGAGCCGAATGAGAGAGGAGCAGAAACTCGAACGGGGAGTGCGAGGGTGACGGCCTCCCTCAGCAGGGGCCACCGAAAGCCAGAGGAGCGCAGAGGAATTATTTCACGAGAGAAACATTGATGCTTCATTAAGGGATCCTGGAAGACCAGATTCGTGAAGACTAAAACTTTTGGTTATTTTATAATTCTGCCTAAATTTGGGATACAATTTTTAAAAATTAAGGTTTTATTTCATAGATTCTTTGTTCTCAACTTTCTCTGTACAAATACAAAAGAAGTATACAGTCTTTAAATGCAGTTCCAGAACATAATGTTCTTTATTTACTTAGTGACAAGCACGGCATTAAACTCGGGCAACAAAAGGCAAAAGCTCTTATTCTTTGAGAGCTGAAAATCTTCATAGAGTAACTCTCAAAGAGAAAGAGAGAGAGAGAGAGAGAGAGAGAGAGAGAGAGAGAGAGAGAAGGAGGGAGGGGGGGGGGGGGGGGG